CATTTATTTATTACTGTCACAACATACCAAATTTGGAGCACTATAAAAAAGAAGGCTTACATTTAGAAAAAAAAATGTATAACATGAGCACAGCCATTTCCATAAAAGTAGTATTTTAAACTGCCCCACTGAGCTAACAATGATAAAGTCCACGTTAGCATTTCCTGCGCCAGTCAAATCCTTTGACAGACTCGGCGAATTTTAAATGTAGATCTGCTAAACTTTCCACCTTGAGAAATTCAGGCGATTCGTAAAACCGAGGAGTATGGGAGGCAAAAAAAAAAAAAAAATTACCGTGCAACTTTGCTTCTTTAGGGAATCAAAAAGTAATCAAAATTATGCAACCTACACATGCAACGAGTACTTGTACAAAATCTGTCGTGTCCCGTGACAAATGCTAGCAGCCCCTTTCATATCTTAATACACTTGACAACAGGGAACGACTGTATTGAGGCGAAAGTGGCTTAAGCAGTATTGTTTGCATGAGTTAGAACCAAGGCCAAGAAATTTTCAAAAAGCTCCACCCCCCCCCCCCCTTTCCTTTTTTTTTTTTTTTTTCAAAGTGGGGTAAGGCACCGCTCCTGCTCTCTTACAAGGCACGTTTGACCAGGCAAAGTAACAACGGCACGCTCGTTATGACGGTGACAGCACTCGATATCTATCGCCAGGACTATGGCCAGGACGACGCAACTTCGATACAAAAAACAGTTTTACGTGCCGCTGCTAACGCAACTAATGAGGTCGCTGGCAACACCGGCATTCGCAGTACGTAGAGCTTCCCGCTGAGCAGCACGCCGCGCGTGTAGAACGCAGTATACGCTTTCAGTTTTAGTTCCTAACATGCTATAACCACATTTTCAGGTAAAGAAATTTATATTTCCCGCAAACCATTAGGGGCTACAGCAACACAGTTTTGTCTTGAAGTTTCGCCGTCCCCTTGATGCTGCTGCGGTCAGCGGACTGATGGGCGCACAGCGTTGCTACTTTATCTACTCAATCGCGTTTCGCGTTTGTCCTCATCTAACGAGTGTACGGTGTCTCCCATTTACCACGCAGCACGAATTAAAAAAAAGGAGAACGGCATTAGCGAACTCAACCATGCATATTGTTCCCAGTATACTGCAGTACCTACTACAAATTTTTTTGTAGTGACAACTAATTAATTACAATAATAGCAAAAGCTGGGGCTAGTTGGTGGTTCATACTTTGGAAGTGAAAACAGCGCAAACATATAGACAAGGACAGAAAAAGCACGGTGTCGTCTCTCTCTCTGTCCCTGTCTATATTTTTGCGTTGTTTTCACTACCCAAGTAGAACTAATTAATTAGTTATATTTGTAATTGTGAAAGCTTTATCATCAAAATGTGAATGAGGCAGATGTGAGCATTTAAAACGACATCTGTCTGCTACTTCCAACAACGTACCAACTGGGTCCTCATTTTTGCCTGTTCATGAAGAAAGCCCACGAAATATGAAAAATAACACGTGAATGCACTCTCATTCAAAAAAGAAAGCAGCACCCTCAAATGAGCTTACTGCAAGCAACCGCTTTGCATCTGTTCATTGCCAGAGACAGCGTTCCGCACATTGACAAGGGTACAGGTCGGGCGCCTACAACTTGTGTCACAATTTCCCAAGGATTCCTTTCCCTTGGTTTCACGTCACTATCGTTTACCATATGTTACGTCCAGCTGTTATCATCGATAACGCAGCCGAATTGCAGCCTGGCTGTGTAAGATCAAAGCGGCATGTTTCTTCGAACGGGAAGTGGCAGGTAGTATGATCGGTATTTTTTTTTTCCACAATTCTTTCATTGATACTGGCTACCTGAAAGTGAGCCTGTTTGAGAGGGCTACTTTTTGAGATGCGCTAATGCACACTGCCGTCTAGTCATGTGTCACTTTTGAAATTTCGCAGCTTTTTTTATTAACCAGAAAAAATGAGCATGCAAATACTAGTACTGTGGAAAGCAGTGCGGTCAGATGTCATTTTGACATGCACAGATCTGCCTCACTGTAATTTTGATAACTAAGCGAGTAATTTTTGAGTTACAAATACGATTATGACAAATTAATTGTCATTACAGAAAAATAGTAGAGGATAGCACAGTATACTGGCAACAATATGCATTAGGTTTGCTTTGCTTAACGCCATTCGTCTTTTTTTTTTCAATGCGTTGCGTGATAATTGGTACACCCTGTAAACCATGGTTTAGGGTTAGGGTCTGCACGCTTTACAGGTGGCCATCGTAGCTTTCATTTCTCGCTGAAATTAACACATCCGAGAAATTATTGAGACTGGTTCAGCATTTTGGCACAGTGAGACGCAATTTTCAAAAATTTCAGCGGTGATGAAAAATAGGGCACTGTGGAATTACAACGAGTATGATGCTGTGAGAGGAATTCAGAAAGGGGTGATGGTTCCTGGCCTGACATTCGGCAATGCGGTCTTGTGGATGAGATCAGAAGTTCAAGCAAGATTAGAAATTAGGCAACGCGGAATAGGGAGGCTTGCTTTAGGAGCTCAGGAGAATACACCAAATTAGGGAGTACAAGGTGGTATGGGATGAACAACATTCGAGGGCAGGGAAGCTAGCAGCAAGATAAAATGTGACAAGCGATTGAGAGGAATGGGGGAGGAGTGTTGGGCTTGGAAGGTGTTCAGTTACTTGTACATAAGGAATGGCAACACGAAATGGAGGAAGCGAACCAAAAAATTGATGGGTAAATACTTAGAAACGAGCAGGAGGCTAAACCAAAAAGAACTATCGATTAAGAGGAAGGAGAAGGAAGCCGAGATCAATATGTGGAGAATTAGCATGGTTAAGAAGTCTGCACTACAAATCTATCGAACTTTTAAGCAAGAAATTGCCAAGGAAAAGATCTACGATAATACTCCGGGTAGTTCTCTACTGTTGAGGCCAGGACGGGTGTATTGCGAACCAAGACTTATCGAGCCAAATACGAAGGGGTGGACACGATATGCAGTGCATGTGGAGAGGATACAAAAACTGCCGAACACTTGATAATGTTCTGTAAAGGGCTTCACTCTATAGTTCGGGATGATGGCACAGAGTTTTTCATAGCACAGGAGTTAAGGGACAGGAAGGTAAAAATAGGCTTTAAGTGGGTACAAAAAGTCACAGCTCTGCCGCAAAGGCGAAGCAATGAACACAATAGCAACAAATTGGAAGGTCATGTACAGAATGGCAAACAGATCGAAACATGCCCTGCATTTCTCAAGCACAAATGACGCATGAAATGTACTCACAGGTGCAGATGAATGCGAATAAGCGTCGGAGTTCTTACTTCACTCTGCCTGAAAAGTGCACCCTTTTCGCAAACGGAGGCTGTACAACGATTGCAGTGACCTTTGTGCGCCGGGTAACTACAACAGAATCGTTCCGGCGAAACCCCAAGTCTAGCCAAGACGTACAATCCTTTGCAGTGCAAAATAAGGGCGCGCGATCGAGCGCACACCGGCTTATTCTCTATGTGGGCCAAAATACGCGTAAGAGATGACAGCCGCCACGCGCTCACTGGGCCATCTTGCTGATAATGCTGAGAACATGATAGTTCCCCCACGAGATGCCTGCCAACAGCGATAAGTGGTAGATATAAATAGCTTGCCGTTTAAACGTTCTAGGATCGGGAGTTAGCCACCGCCCGATCTAAAGGGTACAGCCATATCAATCCATCCATCCATCATGATTTTGGCGCAGCTTGGTGCACCAACCAGGAATTGTATCAATTTGGCACAATTGCCACAGCTGTTGCACCCCTACATTGGTTAAAATTCTCTCGTCACTGATTAATTCACTACTGTGTTTTTATCTGCTAGCATCCCAATTAGCTCAAATGGTAGAATGATCACCCGAGAAAGAAATTGGCAACGTTTGCTTTATGGTTCATTTATGGGGTTTCGCATCCCAAATTGGCTCAGGCTATGAGATACGTCGTACAGGAGGGCTCTGAATAACTTCGATCATTTGCGTTTCTTGAAGGACTACTGACACGATCTTGAGACATGGCAAAAGGGGCTTTTTTTCCTTGGCATGAAATGTTGATGCTCTGTATGCACTGTAGCCAGGAAAGGTATACATAAAATATTATAGTTAATATTGCCCAGCACATGTGAGGCAATCCCACCACAATGCACATTATCATGATGAGTCAAAATGAACACTGCATCCTTCATGCGCCCAAAATCAATGTTGGAGTTGGTGGTATTCACTCATCGTTGCTTATGTGCCCCTCCTTTCTGATAGTACACACCACACAACCTAGATTTACGTCAGACTGGGCTGACATGTCGCTGTGAAATAGCTCCTTCAATACCAAAACCAAAAGCAGTTTTTCAATGTAGTAGCATTATAACTATAGTAGACTATTATTACACAGAACCTGAGGGGACCAGGAAAATATGTTCCATTAACGAGAGTTCTTTTTACCGAAAGATGAACAAGGGTGCAAAAGCCAACTACGAAACCAATAATAATAGATTCAATTGTTTCATTTTCAATGTAGCAGTACTATTCAAGAGATTTCCATTCACTGGGGGGGTCTACTGTTTATTCAACATGTTCTCAGGCATCGTAATACTATATTTAGGGTTCAATAGGCCAGTGTTGCAACTTGGAGGAACGATACAAAAAATTTTTTAAATTCATGTCAGTACTCCTTAAATACACTGACATTGCAAGGTAAGCAGGCCTCAAGCGTTCTGCCTTCATCAGAATAGGACCGCTGCGACCTAGATGGAATCTACGTATTTAGGGTCCGCACCCCAGCAACGTAACTTTTGAGTAACTGAGATGGATACTTTGGTCCATAAATTTCAATTGTGGACAGAGACTATTTTTCTTCAACCATGAAGCTTCCTTTCAAAAAAGAAAATCCTGTTTAGTTTTCCTTGCGGCCACAAAGCACACAAATGACAATTTTCGTATCACGAATCTTCCAACAGCAGAGTAAACCACCCAGCTTCAGTGCTCTACTTACCTTTTCGGCCAAATCCAACTGTGCCTCCACTTCAAGAAGCTTCTGTTTGGTCACCACCAAGTCAGATTCCAATTTTTTCTGTGACAACCGGCTTTTATTTAAGCTCTGAAAGAAAGAGGGCAAAACAATACTAATAATAATTATCCAACACTGTAAAAAAAAAATTGACACGAAGAATTTAATGCATATAATTCATCAAGTACCTCCTCCATTTCAAGTTTGACTTTGCTCATCTGGTCTTCGATAAACTCTGTTGATTCTTCCATTTTTCTTTCCTGAATAGGATACACGAATATTCAGTTGTTATTACAGTGAATTATCCAAAACATTAGCTTATAAGAAGCCACTGAAAAAGTAACAGAGCACGTTAAGCAGCAGCATTTCTAGAACAGTTCCTTATCACAAAAATTATATGAGTTCGGCAAGTGCTGTATTGTGTATTCTGAGAACACACTGTCACACACACACACACACACACACACACAGAAATATATATATACCGTATTTACTTTTTTTCTCGAAAAATCACAACAATGTTGGGGGTGCATTTATTACACGGGGTGAGTTTTATGAAAACTTTTTTAGAAGGAAAAAATGTGGTAATGCAAAAAAGAAGTTTGGTCGCTTAGCCTTTCGCAATTAACGTACGTGTACACTGTTTGGAAACAACTTCTTTGCTCCACTTTACTCATCTTCGGTGGTTGATGGCGCTATCTTCTGCAAGCTGTCCCTGGGCCGCCCGCGCAAACCATAAAAACACTCTGCGACTATTTTTTCTTGCAATCGTTTAACCGCAACAGTGGAATCCAGCTTGTGATCTCCAGAGGCGCCCAAAATCGTGTACTCATGGGGGAAGGGGGAATGAAAGGACAGTTGAAGACAAATGAAAGAACAGAGTGAAGAAAAAAGAAAGTATGCTAAAAATAAAGGGCGAAGGGCTGTTACGAAGGCAAGACGCCAACAAAATCCCGAAGGCGCCACTGCTCGGAACTCCGCCGCGAAGGTCACCAGCTGTTTGGTAGCGTGTGTTACTCAGCTCGCAACTGGTTCTGCGCAGAGCTGATAGACGAGCGGACGAGTCGACGGTCAGTTAAGGCAAGGTTTATATACAGCATAGGAATAGAGGCGTTACAAATTCGGCACTGGGGTCGACAGTTTAGGAACTCGAAGAGTCAAGATGTCTTCTCTCGCACGCATCCGTCGGCTTATCTCTCTGTTACGAAGCGCACCGCCGACGAGGTTACGATGGGTGCCCTGAAACTCGCCGCTGCCCAAGACACTGGGCGCGCCGACAGCCAAGGGGCTCGAAGCAACGAGAGGTTTCTCTGACTTATAGGTCTACTGCTGGCGACGCGCCGCATGGCTTTTTTTTATAGGCACCGAGTGGATCCTTTGAGTCACCAAATGTCCAACCAGAAGCACCGCTGGCCATGATGTCAGAATCCTCCAGTGGGGACCCGCCGCTGCACGTGGTTGCACCAAACACGAGGGATGTTTGGTGCAACATGAGACTCGCCAGACTGGAAGGTGCCGATTGCTTCATTGGGCTCGTGAGCTGAGGGAGCTCGCTGCGCGTTACGTGACAGACCGGAGGCGCCACATGATGATGCCGATGAGTTGATCGCGTCAGGCGGGCTCATGCGCTGGCCTTGACACGATTGCCTTTGCAGAGGCATTGATGTTTAGTGTGGACTGCCCCCCCCGTAACAGCACCCCCGTCGCCAGACAATGCACAGGAAAGACGAGCTGCTTCCCCGTGGCTCGGATGTCGGGCGCGCTCGTTCGCCAGGTCCCTCCAGGTTTGCCTCCAGGGCAATGGGAAGAATGTAGCTCTAAGCTCAGTTTCATGAATACATTAATTTTTTGAGCACGGATCCCAGCTCCAATGGCTCGTCGCCACAACTTGTCGGCCAGCTTCACTCGTGTCTTCTGAAGATTTTTGGTCTCAGCACTTGTCGATGGTTCTGCAACTTATCAAGAACAGTTCGACAATATACAACACACGACACAAGGAAGCACCCTCGGTAATCCGACAGAACACCAGACAAAGTATAGTACAACATATACCAAACCAGACAAAGTATAGTACAACATATACCTAGCTACGTGTCTATCGGAATTTCGTTCCCTCTACATCAAGAGGCACATGTGGGACACAAGGCTCTTAAAATGAGAATTCAAATTTTTACACGTACAACAACGTAATAAAATACAATACAACATAAAGTTGGCCCCTCGAGATCACTCTGGACGAGAACGCTCAGCTAAGGCCGTGATAAGGACAAAATTTTGCCCCGAATCGCCAGCAAGAAACCAAAAGGTGGAGAAGGTACTAACTGAAACGCACGGCTCAATGCGTCTGCATTAGCGTTTACCTTTCCTTTTTTGTAGCGAACGTCAAAGTTGTGCTGTTAAAGTATCATGCTCACCTCAGTAACCGGCCACTTTTAGGCGACATGTTATTTAACCAGGTTAGAGGACAGTAGACCGTTTCGACCACAAACCTCAAACCGGAGACATAACAAACTAGCCTTTGAACGGCCCACACGAGGCAAGCGCATTCCTTTTAAGAGGTACTGTATGCCTCTTCCCTGCAGCTGAGTTTCCGACTTAAATACAAAACTGGCCTTTCGTTACCAGCGCTGTCTTCCTGGCACAATATAGCTCCCATGTTGCGATATCTCGCGTCGCATTGAATGACAAATCCCTTAGAGAAATCGGGTGCCATGAGAACAGGCTTTTCGCTCAGGGCCTGTTTCAGCTTGCAAAACGCATTCTCTTTTTCTGAGTCCCATACTACTTTAACCGGCTCGGACTTTCGAAGTGCGTCAGTTAGAGGGCTGGCAATGCTAGAGTAGTTTTGCACGTAATGCTGATAGTATCCAGCTAGGCCCAAGAATGACCTTATCTCAGATTTTGTGGTTGGTCGTGGATAGTTCAGGACAGCAGCTACCTTAATTTCTGAAGGTCTACGCCTGCCACACCCCACGACGTGTATGACAACTCGCCGCACCCTAAGTGACATTTAGTAGGTTTCAGGATAAGACAAGCTTCTTTCCACCTGTTCAGCACGACTCGTAAATGCTCGACATGTTCTTCCCAGTTGTTTGAGAAGATGGCGACATCATCAAGATATGGCAGAGCGAACTCAGAGAGGCCTTTAAGAACGCGGTCCATTAAGCCTGAAAAACAAAAGGGCGCATTTTTCAATCCAAAGCTCAGCTTATGTGGACGATACATTCCGAATGGAGAAACAATGTGGCATAGCGGCTAGCGCGCTCCGTAAGGGGAACTTGCCAATACCTTCGCACAAGGTCTAACGTGGAAATATAGCTAGACTGTGACAGTTTCTATCCTCTCCTCTAGGTTTGGTATCGGGCAAGTTTGGTCTCAAGTAACGGCGTTAAGACACCGATAATTAATGCACGGCCTCGCATCTTTTCCCGGCACTTGAACCAATATTAGAGGGTATGTATAGTCACTCTCGTCCGGTACTATGACTCCCAACTCCAGCATTTTACCGATCTACTCTTTCACGATCTGCTTTTTGCACAGGGCAACATTGATACGGCTTGCTACAGATTGGCTCCTCACAAGTTAGCTCGATATCGTGTTTAATCACCATCGTGCTTCCAGGACGGCCCGAAAACACGTCTTTATACTCGAAAACAATCCTTGTCAGGTCCTCCTTCTGGACTTCACTTAACCTAGGCTCTAGGTTTAATTGCTCCAAGATTACTTCCGATCCCCTTTCGATTACATCACTAGAGGTCAAAATTTTTGCTCCCTCTTCTTCCAAAGCATTCAAAAACAGATTTCCGACTACTTGAGATTGAAGGTATGGTTTCATCAAGTTACTGTAGTAAACGTTGTTCGGCCGCCATCCTAATTTCACTTCATAATTGGTATCAGAAAGCTTTGGTATTACTTTGGTGGGCCCTTCCCAATGAACCTCAAGCTTGTTCTTTTTGGACGGCAGCAGCATTACCTGATTACCTACTTTAAGGGTGCACTTCTTCGCCGATTTGTCGTAGTACTCCTTCGACAACACTTGCGCAGCCTTCACGTGGCTTTCCACAAGATCTTTCGTTTTTCCAAGCCTTTGAAGGAGGTCTAGAACATACGCAGCTACATTAGGGTCCTCATCGAATCCCTCCCAGGACTCGCGTAGCATTCGCAATGCTGTTCTCAAACTCCTTCCACACACAATCTCTGCAGGGCTAAAACCAGTGCTCTCATGAGGAGCTGATCTCAAAGCGAACATAGCAGGAAAAATACAGGCTTCCCAGTCGCAATTGTGCTCGTAGCAAAGAGCTCTCAGTATCAGTTTCAGAACGGAATGCATACGCTCTACCGGATTAGATTGCGGGTGATGGATCGAGCTGTGCACTACTTTTATTCCGCATTTATCCAAAAAGGTAGAGGTAAAGCAGCTGGTGAAGACACTACCATTGTCGCATTGGATTTCAGTAAGAAATCCAACGCGTGCAAATATATATAGCAGTGCATCCACGACATGAGGGGAATTGAGCTCCTTAAGTGGTATCGCTTCCAAAAATTTTGTGGCTACAGAGAGGGCCATTAGGATGTATCGACAACCTTGCCTTGACTCTGGCAATGGCCCGACAATATCAATTACTAGGCGCCGTAAAGGTTCTGTGATAATTGGCACAAGCTTCATCGGTGGCTTCCACTTGTCCGTGGATTTTCCCGCTCTCTGACAAGTGTCGCACGAGTGTAAAAAGTCTTCAATATCCTTCCAGCATTTCGGCCAATAAAACTCAAAGGAAACTCTATAGCGTAGGTCTTTTTTATGCCGAGAGGCCCTGCCCACGCGTTTTCATGCGCCAGTTCCAATAGCTGGCGATGATACTTTTGTGGGACCAAGAGCTAGCTGCTCATACTTGCTACCTTGCACATTTGTGTAGCTCCGATACAGCAGCCCTGCCTTCTCAAAAAAAGAAACATTCTTTTTCTTTTTTCCCAAGTTTACACTTTCCATTAGCGCTTTAATCGAGAGGTCCTCACGCTGCTCTCAAACGAGCGTTTCTCGATCAACTCTCGACAGCTCACTCCAACTTTCCACTACAGGCGAGAGCGTTGCACACCTCTCACTCCGACTCAATGGTGCCATGTTGTCTCTTCCGCCGACACAGACCACGCCAGTCGCTTCGGTGACGGGCCGCTCGAGTGACTGCTCAAATGACTCGCACGGAGAATTTCCTGTCTGAAGTTCCGTCAACTCGCCGCCAAGGTCACGCATATAAGCAGCTTTTGTGGGTGTTGTTTTACCACCTACAACAAGATCAATTTCCTGCGAAAGCTTCCGCGCTTGCGATCGCGTGAGGGCCATGTACGCGAAGTTGGAGAAAAACAATTTACCCTGCTCTTTGAGAAGCTGCTCTGAGTTATTAGAAAAAAGATAAGGAAAACGATCGGGAAGCGCGGCAGACACAGCCACTTCTGTGCGAAGCTTACCGAACGGGCCTTCAATGACAACCGTAGCCATTGGTAAGCGAGCACTCTGCTCCTCGGCGACTTGTCTGATCCACGCGCATTCTCCTGTAAAGTCATCCGGAGACACCAACAAAGGATGGACAACGTCCATGATTGCCTCTGAGTCTCGAAGTGCTCGACACGATTTCCCATTCACACTAACTTCTTAGAGATACGGTTTTAACAACCGCATGTTCTTTTCCGATTCTTGGATAGTTGCGAAAGCATTCTTGCAGTTTATTGCGATGTGCCCTTCCTTTTTGCAGTTGTAGCAGATTAGCGGCTTCCGTGATTCAAACGCCCGTGTGGTATCAGTGCGTTGTTTAGGAACGTCACTCGGTTTCTCCGCTTCTGTTTGCCCTTCCCCTACAGTGTCCTTCGTAAGAGACGGGTCCTTCCTAAAGTTACGGTGCCGAGTGGGTTTCCGTTGATCAGTTTTCTTTTAAAATCCCTCTTTTTCTTCATTCTTTTCAACGTGCACTGCCCTACTATGCAACTTTCGGCGAGTGTAATACTCCTCAGCTAACTCTGCTGCCTTGTTTAGCTGTACTTCACCAAGCTTGTCCTGCAGCCAAACCTTGACATCCTTTTCAATGCACCGGTAGAATTGCTCCCAATGCATTCTACCACTTTATCGCGATCGTCATAAACCCCTTCGCCCTTGAGCCATTCAAATAAATCGGCTTTAAGACGAAACGCGAAGTCAATGTGTGACTCATTCCCCTTTTTAGCATACCGGAACCTTTGCCTGAAAGCCTCGGGTGACAACTCATAACGTCTCAAGAGCACTTCCTTAACATCGTCACAGCTTTCAAATGCTTCCTTCGAAAAGCATGTTATCACGTCGGACACTTCGCCAGGAAGAAGAGCTAACAGGTTCTGCGCCCAAAAAGACCGTTCCAAAGTATTTCGCTCACAGGCGTGTTCAAACTTGACGAGATACTTCGCCATGTCCTCGCCTACTACGAACGGTGGCAGTTGGTCGCGAATTCTCCGACCGCTGACCTGAACTGTCACAGAAGCTACAATAGAGGTGCGAACACTGTAGGATTGCCAATTCTATTCGTTTCAACTGAAGGCGCTCCTGTCTTCTGGCCACCTCACGGCGTTTTCGCCTTTCAACTTCTTCACGTTCGCGAACTTCTCGCCTTTCAGCCTCCTTGTGGCGTGCTTTGATATCCGCCCAGGCTTCATGGACTTCCTCAGTCGTCACTCCTGCATCCCTCATGATCTCAAGTATCGCTTGCTTTTGTTTCGCACGGCCCAAAATAAGGCCAAGTTCCTCACAAACTTCGATGAGTTCCTTCACTTTAAGGTTCTCCATCGTTCACACTAGTCTCTTGCTGTTTGCCCCTGTTAAGAATCTACTTCCCGTACCCACTATAAGTCTAGTATAGGAAGACGCGCAAGCAATTTTAACACTGCCGTGTTTACGACCTATGCATTAGCTTTGGTTTTAAAGCGCTTCGACTTTGCTTAAAACGATCAACGCTCACTTTAATGCTTCACACAGCCCTTCTCTAAACTACTATAACCTGTGCTAGAGTAGTCTGGTGAACTGAGGGAAAAACATCAGGCACTCACCGCATCGATGTCGCCGACGCCGGCCGATCACACCGCTGCCACCACTATTACGAAAGCGAAACGCCAACACAGTCCCGAAGGCGCCACTGCTCCGAACTCCACCGCCAAAGTCACCAGCCATTTGATAGCGTGTGTTACTCAGCTCGGGACTGCTTCTGCGCAGAGCTGATAGATGAGCGGACGAGGCGACGGTAAGTTAAGGCAAGGTTTATGTACAGCATACGAATAGAGGCGTTACGAATTCGGCACTGAGGCCGACAGCTTAGGAACTCGAAGAGCTGAGATGTCTTCTCTCGCACGCATCCGTAGGCTTGTCTCTCTGTTACGAAGCGCACCGCCGATGAGGTTACAAAGGGCGCCACGAAACTCGCCGCTGCCCAGGACACTGGGTGCACCGACTGCCAAGGGGCTCGAAGCAACGAGAGGCTTCTCTGACACATAGGTCTACTGCTGGCGACGCGCTGCAGGGCTTTTTTTATAGGCAACGGGTGGACCCTTTGAGTCACCAAACGTCCAACCAGAAGCGCCGCTGGCCGTGATGTCAGAATCCTCCAATGGAGACCCGCCGCTGCACGTGGTTGCACCAAGGACGAAGGATGTTGCCACGCATTGCATAAGACTCGCCAGACTGGAAGGCGCTGATTGCTTAATCGGGCTCGTGGGCTGAGGAAGCTCGTTTTGCATTGCGTGACATACCGGCGCCGCCTTTTGATGATGTCGTTGAGTTGATCGCGTCAGGAGGGCTCGCGCGCTGGCCTGACCACAGATTGCCTTTGCAGAGGCATTGACATTCAGTGTGGACTCCCAGGCGTAACAGGGTGCAGGCAGTGACCGACGACGATTGGCACCGGCTTATCAGCTGCGATGTCTCTGGACTACCCTAGTACCCCTCTGTACCCCACTGTGATGCACAGATAAGACGAGGGGGAGGGGCACGTGCGGCGCACAGATAGAAAAAAAAAGCAATAGGCACGAAGGAGGGGGGGTGGGGGAGCGAGCCGAGGTAGTTGAGGGGGGGTCGGCAAAGTAATAAAACACGGAAGAGAGCCAATGGGTGAGGAGGCGCAAGGTGTCAGTTAGCGGGACTGCAGCGGATGAATGTCAGGGGTGCATTTATTATGCGGGGGTAAAAAAATTCTAATTTTGATTGCTGAAGCTGGGGGTGCGTTTATTATGCGACTGTGTTCATTGCGCGAGTAAATACGGTATACACTAAAACCTCATTATAACAAAGTCACACCTGTTGTGAAAATACTTTGTTATACCCAAAACATTCGTTATGAACATATATTTATAGCACTGTGTCTGTGATAGAGCTGTTCTTCATTTACTTCATTACACTCGATAATTCATTCTATATGCAATAATTATATCGAGATTTGAATGTATATCCCCTTCAGGCCCAAATTTTAATCCACTGCCTGCTAACGCATCAAATTCACATGCCATCATTTCAAGGCACTAGGTATTACATTCAAAGAAAAAATACAGTAAAGGAATTTGTTGTTTGTGTGAATACCAATAATTTATGCAACTTAACATGTATTTAAATAACTGATTATTCTGCAATCACGTTCAATTTTTGCATTTAAAAACACCAGATATTAGGCTCGAAATACAATCAAAGTTTGTTTTTCAATTGTCTTTGTTATCAGCAAGAAACAAGATACTCTTGACATTGTTCATTGAACATAGTAGTGTCTCCAGCAAAGTGATCATTTGCACCAATATGCAGCACAGCGAAATTGAATAATCATGCAATGTACATGCAGGAAGCCTTCACAAATGTGCACACAGCGTTCCAAGCAATCAGAAAAAACATGTGGTGGGCGACAAGTCCCCGAACTTGACACGAGTAATTGTGCACACCGCTGCTGAAGGAGATTTTCACAACACCATGCATATTTCGAGAAATATGCGAAATGCATGAACATGAGATGTCAATGGAACCAACATTTCAGCAAGCAGTCTTCTTCATGACTTTAACAAGAAGAAAAGGCCGCTAGTCAAAACATTCGCTCCAGCAACACCTCATGTTCACAGACTTATCTTCTTAAGCATCCATCTTCCCATAAACATGGGCATATTCTGGCAACATATGCAGTTATTGAGCCCGATCATCAGAAAAGGAATTACCTTGTTCTTCAAGCTTTCCAACAACTCAGACTTTTTCTGGTTGAATCTCTCAGCCAGCTCAGACTTTTGGTTCAGTATTTGAGAAACCTAAGAAAGTAAACATTGCTATTACAGAAAAACAACCAGAAGGCATTGAAGTGAGACGGTAAGTTGGGCCAGTTGATTAGGATCCATCGTGAATTTACTTACAGCGCAACACCCTAAAAAAATACAGGACAGAGAAGGAGCAAAAGAGAAAGAAAAGACGGCGCTGACCCACAACTGTTGTTTATTGGAAAAAACGGGGTGAAAAGTATATATATAGGTACTGACAGCCCACATCACAACATGCGCAGATTACGAGGTGTACCGAGGTAGCGTTATCACACTCATGGCAATAAACAAGATTGGCCTAAATAACTAATTCTTTTTCATGCAGTGTGACAGATGGTTCACTAACGCACTTGCTACCCCTAATCTTTATATGATATGCCTCAGAAGGCATTGAAATGCTAACTTGTTCACCAAACATTATTGGTGGTAGGGCACACACCGGAGTGAAGTGTTAGTGCTGGTTTATTTCTCTTAATGGTGCTGTAGTGTGCCACCATTATTGGTATGAACCAGCAAAACAAAGTATACATACCTGACTTTCAACATCCTTCAGCCGACTTCTCAGCATGGTGTTCTCACTTTTCATTCTGGCTATTTCCTACAAGAAGACGTGCAGTGATGCGTGACAAAATAGCTCAACAAATCAGTGACTGCCGACTTCTTAGCAAGCAGTATATCATTCATTAATTTGTGACATACTTTCTGTAGAAGAGCACTTGGTCCATGCGAGTCCTCAAGTGGGCTCAATTTGTGCGATCTCGACGAGGATGCTTGCAACTGCTTTCCAGCCCTCAAGCCCTCCGATTCCATGCTGCCAACATTTTCAATCAGTGAGCTGGGAACACAAACAAAAGGAAAAAAATTGGCAGATCCCATGTACAGTGGGAATCGATGACAGTGGAATCGAAGCACCTATGAGAAATGTTTATATGTCAATTTAAAGTCAGTGCAATATTACGAGGTAGAGGTGAATGATGCCGTACATGACTTCCATGTCACTATTATATTAGATCTGCCGTTTATCTTCGTCATCTATTCACGTCACGTGATACCAAATTATATGTGGAGTTAGCGAAACGGCCGTGCGCACGCTATGAGCGTGGTATGTTGTCAAGGTGTTACATGACAAGCGTGTCAGCATTATGTTTGCACCAGTCATATATTTTGTCATCCATTGATGTCTCGTAACACCAAATTTGGCATATGTAGAGCTAGCAAAACAACCACGAACGCATCATGAAGGGCCCAATATACTCCAATGTAGCGACGCGCGTGCACGGTGGGCACAGTGACGCTACGTTAGCAAAATGCGAGCACTCTATAGTCTGACGCCAGGTGCGACCAGCGTCCATCGGCGCGGCCGACGGCAACTGAGGCGAAATGCGACATGCTGCATTTCGCGCCGATGCCACAGTAACATTACTCTGTGCAGATGCGTTACCCAGTCAACACTGCGTCTCCCTCTTTTCATGACTGGGGGATGCCGGACGCGCATAAGCGCACATGCATCAAAGCAACACAGAGCGGCGCGCGCCTGCGAGTATATGGCAGGACCAGCACCTGGCATGGCAACGCCAGGGTGACGTGACGAAATGATCACCAGAGAGCACGCGCACTGCGTCATGTCGAAATGTATTGGTGCCTTGACTGTGGCATGCAGACATGTTCTCACATGACAGGCATCTCATGATTATCATGTTTGCACCAGTCACATACCTTCGTCATCCATTAGCATCACGTAATACCAAATTTGGTATACGTAAAGCTGCTGAAACGGCGTAATACCAAATTTGGTGTATGTGAAGCTGCCGAAATGGCCGCCGGCGCATCATGAGCGTGGCATGTAATCATGTTGTTACATGACATGCATGTCATGATTTTCATGTTAGGGTCTGTCGCTTGTGTTAGCCATGCAATCATGTCATACCATACCAGTTTTGCAACATTCCATGTGAACGAAACCACCGCAAGAGCTGCAGGACCATGAAATTAAATCATGACATACATGTCATGATTTTCATGTTATGACTAGTTAAATATGTTCTTCATACAGTCATGTTATGCAATACCAAGTTTGGTATCAATACCATTATCGAGACGGCCAGGAGACAGACAGACAGACACACAGACAGGCAGATAGATAGATACGCTCAAAGTCGCTGAAGTTCGCTAAAAAATGCTTCGCATTTCAAAGGCACAGTATAAATCCCATCACAAGTTTTTTATGAGACTATGAAAAAAACTCAATAGCTGGGAACTATATATTACAAACATGTGGTTAAAATTGGGAATAAGTACTGCTAAATACTAAAACAAATGCGTTGCATACAGCTCCAGCTCAGAATTTATTTATCAATTAACGATTTGAAAGGCGCCTATGGTGGAAATTGTGGGTATCGAGAGCGCCTACCTATGTGGCGCCTTGTTTTCTAGCTAACTCTACTACCTCGATGCACTACTTCACACCCTCACATGGATTCATCCTTTTACAGTGAAAGCTGTTATGAGATCAAAACACAGTTCACGTGCGGCGCTGTAGTTGTCCGCCACTGCTGCCATCACCGTCGCCTGTGTCTATAACCACTATTGCACGAAATAAGAAAAAAAACCTCAAATAAGAAACACCAAGTACACAATGGGATTCAAACCCAGGTCCCCTGCGTGCCAGCCCAGTATTACACAACCGAGCCACACCGGTGCTTGAAACTTGTTTCCAAACTGACCTTAGGCAGGATTGGTGTTGGGAAAGTAATTGCGTTAATACGAGTAATAGAGCGTTTTAGAACACCAAAGGAACAACCAGTCATCACACATTGCGAATTACATAATGAGTGGGCCGTCCAATGCTCCAACCTATTACAAAAGCTTGTTCTTGATCCCCCAGTTCAGGCATAGTGAGTGCGTAGCAGTTACCACACTTCTTCAAAGAATGACAAAGAATAGCACAGTGAATGCCCGCCAACTCCACAAAAACTATGATTCGCGTTCCGCAAGCCAAAATAAAGTTATTTTCCTTTTTTCCTTATATACATGATGATACATGTGTAGATGAACGGATGGCCAGGCGGTAGTGACTATGGTGAACAGTAGGCCATCAGGCCCGCAAAGAACAATAGAACATGTTGAGCCCTTTGCCCAGAACAAACTGTCGTTTTATGTTTCCAAAACGGCCACTTCCCGCTGCTGTGCCAGGCTTGCACAGCTCAACACAACTATCAGCGCCGCGTGGGGGCGCTGCATTTGAGCCAACATTGTTACACTCCTCCCCTCTTAGGAGGAAGACTAGGGGGAGTACCTATTTACCGGTTTCCTAGTTCTTGTGCCATGTCGCAACTTCGGCGTGCTAGGCGTAGGCACGACAGAGTCACTGTTGAGCGCAGTCCCGTCACTCTCCGTGGCACAGCTACTCCCAGAGAAGGTAGTTCCAGGTAGCTGTTCAAATGCAGCGCCCCCACGCGGCATTGACAATGCCGCGTGGGGGCGCTGCATTTGAGCCAACATTGTTACACTCCTCCCCTCTTAGGAGGAAGACTAGGGGGAGTACCTATTTACCAGTTTCCTAGTTCTTGTGCCATGTCGCAACTTCGGCGTGCTAGGCGTAGGCACGACAGAGTCACTGTTGAGCGCAGTCCCGTCACTCTCCGTGGCACAGCTACTCCCAGAGAAGGTAGTTCCAGGTAGCTGTTCAAATGCAGCGCCCCCACGCGGCATTGACAATGCCGCGTGGGGGCGCTGCATTTGAGCCAACATTGTTACACTCCTCCCCTCTTAGGAGGAAGACTAGGGGGAGTACCTATTCACCGGTTTCCTAGTTCTTGTGCCATGTCGCAACTTCGGCGTGCTAGGCGTAGGCACGACAGAGTCACTGTTGAGCGCAGTCCCGTCGCTCTCCATGGCACAGCTACTCCCAGAGAAGGTAGTTCCAGGTAGCTGTTCCTGATGAGGCACTTCTGGAACAGCTGGCGCATCAAGAAGCGGCGGCTTAAACTATGGTGGAGTTGCAGCGATAGCAGTTTCAGGAGAGGCCAAGGTGCAAGTGGTCGCTGTGTCGGTTTCCCAAGGTGCCATCTTCAAAACGAACACTGGCTGATGACGGAGTGACGTCCACGACACTGGCAGGCACCCAGGACGTACCCCTGCGAAAGTTTCGCGCGTACACATCATCACCTGGCTGCAGTGATGGAGCCTGCCGGGGCCCTCTGTCAGCATACAACTTCTGCTTGAGTTGTTTTAGGAATACAGATGCCTGCAGGCTTACATCCAATGAAGTCTTGAACATTCTTCCTGTCAAGATTTCACACGATGGCCAACCTGTCACTTCATGTGGTGTGGTCCTATAGTGGGACAGAAACCTGGAGATCTGCGTTTGGAAGTTCCCAGAACCAGACTTCTTGAGTTTGTTCTTCGCAGTTTGTACAACTCGTTCAGCTGCACCATTTGAGGCAGGGTGATACGGCGGTACAAACATGCGGCGTATTCCATTTCGAGTTAAGAACTCAAGGTACTGGGCACTGGTGAAGGCAGGACCGTTGTCGGAAACTATGACATCAGGCAGGCCATGCTGAGCGAATGCAATTCTCAATGCAGAAATGGCAGCTTCAGCAGATGTAGAAGACACAGGAAAGACTTCTATCCACTTTGAGAACGCATCCAACATAACCAAGAATCTGTAACCTAGGAATGGTCCCCCAAAATCAATGTGAAGATTTGACCAGGGTCGCTGTAGAAAAGGCCACGGTGTCTGCTGAACCGGCTGTGCAGCTCGATGTTGAGTCTGGCACGTAGCGCAGCTCTTCAAGCTGTTGGCAATGTCATTGTCAATGCCTGGCCACCAAACATGGCTCCTGGCAATCATCGTGCTCTTCTCGATACTCGGGTGGCTGGCATGAAGAACACCAAGAACTTGGGCCTGCAATGACTTTGGGATCAATACTCTTGATCCCCCAAGCAGGCAACCCTCATGGAGACTGAGTTCCGAGCTTCTGGTATTGAAAGGGTTCCGCTCTGGTCCTACAGGGAGGCTTTCTCCTTTCAGAACAGCAAGAACAACATGGCCCAAAACTGGGTCATTTCATGTGGCTTGGGCCACAACACCTGGCTAAAAAGAGTCTCAGATATGCCTCCTCTACCAAGAAGATTTCAGCAGATCATGGTAATGCAGTAGTGTCAGTTGGGAAAGGCAGTCTACTAAGAGCGTCAGCGTGGCCGAGCTCTTTGCCAGGCTTGTATACAAGTTCATACTTGTAAGCAGACAGCTTCAGAGCCCACCTGACAACTCGAGGTGAAGCTTGCACGGGAACGGGCTTGTTGGCACCCAGCAGTCCAAGAAGTGGCTTGTGGTCATGTGTGCTTCGAATGAGATGCCCCACAAGTACTGGTGGAACCAATCCACACCAAACACTAAAGTCAGTGCCTCCTTGTCGAGTTGACTGTAGTTTTGTTCTTTTGACAAGCTCCTCTGGGCAAAAGCAATGGGATGTTCCCCACCACCAGCATCTTTGTGTGTCAGAACTGCACCTATACTATAAGGCGATGCGACACAGCTGAGGCAAACAGGCCTGGCAGGGTTGAAATGCACAAGAACTGGAGCTAATGTCACCAAGTGCTTGCAGGCATTGAATGCATCTTGTTGTTCATGTCTCCACTCCCACTTCTTCCCTTCACAAAGAAGCGAGTGCAGTGGACGAAGGAGTGACGAAAGAATGGGTAAGAAGCGCCTGTAGAACTTACAAGTCTCAAGAAACTCTGAAGTTTCCTGACATCCAGAGGCACAGGAGCATGCAGAATGGCTGCTACCTTGTCAACATTCGGGGAAAGGCCTTCCTTGCTGATGAT